ACTGTGTCTCTTAGAGAAAAGACTGTGACACTGCACTGGACTGTGGAGCTGCACTGTTTTTAACTTTTAATTCAGCTCTTTCGATACCCTCTGCAGTAGGTAACTCACTTGGAAAGGCAAAACTAAATTTGAAACAGGGAGAAAGAAAAGATAAGAAAGAAAGCAAGAGATGAAAAAATCACAGGCTTTTGAATGGGAAGATACAGTATTTTTTCTGAAAAATCCCCTATATATGTTACAAAACAATTCCTGGCCTGTGCCTGGGTGTTAGCAAGGCAGGTGAACCAAACTTGTGTTCACCTCCACAGCTTCCACATGCTCATTGACAGTATTTTCAACAACAACAGGGGTTATATATATTTTTTTCTCTCTCATGCTATATTCCTTTGAACAAAACAAATATTTTGATTTGTCACTGAATCAGGAAATAAGCTCTCATCTTTATTTCCAGTATGTCAGTGGGGTAGTGACACAATGCTATCTGTTGTTCTGAAACCTTGCAAAGTTTTTATGACTCTCTTTAACTCAGTGAATTATAAACTTCAGAAAAATTAATCTCTGGGCTTGGTAGTATGCTTTTTCATCTTGGAACATTAAGATCCAAAATGTACTCTTTCCTCCATCCCTAGAGAATGTTAAGTGGCACCATTAAAAATCATTCTAAAATGCAACAGCTTTCAGAAGGCAGAATAAGAGCATCGGCACCATTAGCATAAGCAGTCTGTGAGGAGAAGGCACTACAATTGATTATTAAAGCAACCTGCTCAAATTCATATTAGTCTTTCCTTTTTTTCATTCTTTCTCTTTCTCTTTTTCTCTTTCTTTCTTTTTTTCTTTCCTATCCTTTTTTCTTGCTTTCTTGCTGTCTTTTCTTCCGACTTTCATTGCCACTGGGCATTTAACTTTTAGAAAGGCAATTCTGAATTAAAAACTCACCCAGATGGTTACTGAGCAAAGGTTGTTTTGGATGACTGGTGTTGGCTAGATGCTGCTTGTCTTGTAAGGAATAAAGCATGCATTGCAAAAACTGGAGGATATAAACATACCATACAGACTATCCAGCACCCTTACATCCACTTGTGGTGTCAGCATTGCCAACCACTGCACAAACTATTACTGATTTTTAAAAGGTGATTTTATAAATATTCCTGAACAGCCCTGCAATGGATGATAGGAGGATATTAGATATTTAAGGTTTAAAAATAAAAGGTAGATTTTTAATTTTTTTTCCTTCTATAAGAGAAAGCCTTCAGCAATCTACAGACTTGGAGGACAAGGGTGATAGAAGTTTTGAGTTCCTAAGGATGAAGATGTCTGGTTCATAGTATGCATGAACCAGTGCTTGCAAAAATTGCACACAAATGAGCATGCTGATGCTACCAAATGAATATCAGCTGTAAGATATAGGTCCTTTCCCTATTCACATCCATTAGCAATCTCCTTCACTAGTGTTATACAACAATTCTCTTTTACAAATATTTAATGTTCACTTTCATCCCTAATGATCATCCCTGGGTACAGTGAAATCAAAAGGAGAAACTGTAATGCCCTCACCCCTAATCTGGCAAATGCTAAGCTTCCTGTTTTATGAAGCAGTAGAGTATTTCTGTCCTTTAATCATTCATTTCAAGAGTGAAAAATGGAATAGATGCCACAATTTAATGTAATGAAAAATAATCACAGTGCTCCTGAAAGCTAATGTAGCAGAAGATTCTTCTTAGAGAACCTCTGCAGTAAACTACACTCCACTAATCTTATCTGCCATTCTCAACAGGCAGGGGCCTGGGGTTTATGCTCTAGCAATTCTGTTTTACTGGTCAACACAGAATTTTAATTAAACATAGCTTATAGGCTGAATCTTAAACGGAATAGTAAAATCAGAGCATAACCTTACATGGAGTATTATGGTACACAAAGGTGATCTTGTTTTTCTTTCTTCTGAACCCATGGCTAATTTATGATTTTAAATAATCAGCTGTTCAATCCATGCATTTAAAAGTGTGTTCTCCTTAGTATGTCAAATACATTAAATTTTTACAGATTTTTACACTAGTAAATGGAATTTTTCTTTTTCCTTCTCAGTAGTTGTGCCAGTTCATAAGTACAATTAAGTATTACTTCAGGGAAAAAATAGGCCAATAGGTTAATAGTGAATCCTAAATTATTTCAGATTTTTATTAATATGTAAAATTAAGTATGTTATCTGCATCTATATACTTGTACTTATTTATTCCATACTTTGAAAAAATGCATCTACTAATGGACTTCGGGAGAGGAACTTGTGCACACCTGTGTGTGTATGTATATGGGGATGTGTGTGTGTTTGTGTGTACTTTTATGTACAGGTCTTACTGGTACCCGTCTGAGTTTTCTTTAAAGAAATATAATTTTAGATGGACAGATATGAAAGAAACATGAAGTTAATTAGCCCAAGAAAATTATACAAGGTTACATGAAAATAAAATGTACTAATAATACATAAGCTAATATTTTATACTCATCCGATATCATAGTGTTTGGTAAGAGCATAATTTTTCATAGAAGATTTTTGCCTTGCTTATCATGCATGAGTTGGCAATTAAACTTTCTGTAGGGGCAGTACAGGATTTGTGCATCAGCTGATTTCTTTTTTGAATATATATGGATTACATTACACAGTCTTGTCCCAAGATACACAGGATTTTGTGAGAGCTGTTGTAGGGTGATTCACTTCATTTTACTCAAGTTCTGGGAAGGTCTGGGAAGAGCATCAACAGGGCTTTCAAATGCTTAGAGCCTCAACATGCCAGCGATGTGCCCCTGCAACAACGTGGGTCAGCAGCCTCCTGGGATGCACTTGGCAGAGCATCACCAGCAGATCAAGGAAATGATCCTGTCCCTCTGCTCAGCACAGCTGGGACACAGCTGGAGTGCTGGATCCAGGGCTCCCAGTACAGCAGAGACATGGACATAAAGACAGTCCAGTGAATGGCCACTAAAATGATTAAGGGATGGAGCATCCTTCCTAGGAGGAAAGGATGAGAGACCTGGGACAGTTTAGCCTGAAGAAGTGAAGGTTCAAGGAAGATTTTGTTAATCTAAATGAATACATGAAGGGAGGTGCAAGGACAGAGCCAGGCTCTTTGCAGTGGTGTCTGGACAGGAGGCAAAAGGGCACAGACTGAGTAACCCAGAAAGGTTGTGGAGTCTCTATCCTTGGATATATTCAAGCACTAACTGAAGATGGTCCTGAACAATCCGATCTGGCTGACCCTGCCTTGAGCAGAGGGGTTGGGCTAGACAACCTCCAAAGTTCCCTTCCAACATCAACCATTCTGTAATTCTTGAGACCAGCTTGAATACTTTATGCTGCCTTTATTCCTATGAAAAGACAATAACAAAATAGCCCTGACAAAAGTAGTTCAGAATGTGGACTTAGGAAGATTTCAAAGCTAACAATATTCTAAGAATAATAGGAAAAAATTGAGTATCAATATTATGCCTTCTGCTATTAAAAAAAAAAAAAATAATGCAATGTGGCATTTCTTCATCTGCCTGGCTCTGGCAGAGGGTTTTGTCCTTCACTGCAGGATTGGAAAAGGCTGAGCAGGAGCATCCCCTGGGGGCAATGTGACATGAAGATCACAGCAGTCTAAAAGGGTTCACTCAAGAAAGGATCAGCCACTACAGATGCATTTAAAGGAGAAGTAACAAGCAGAGATTAACGTGCTTTTCTTTTATCCCTTTTATCACTCAGGCTTTATTTTCCTATTTGCTCCTTTGAGCAAGTCAATAATTGTCCAGTCATATTGTCAGTGAAAAAAAAAAAAAACACAAGTCCTCCAGGAATACTTCTTTATGACTAGTGTAATGACTGTTCAATATGATCTACATCATTTCTGTTCTGTCTAGTTCAGTAACTCATCGTCTCCAAAAAGTTACTTTAAAGTAGTGCAACAGAGTTTAAAAAGAAAAAAAAAACCTAAGATACGGAATTCCAGAGTCAAATTTCCTTTTAGAATCTCAGTACCACTCCCCATACATTGTGTCATAGTCTTTGATTGCATAGAAATCAATACCCGTTATGCAATGGGAATGCCCATCCCTTTGTGAGTCTCCTCCATCCATGTCACCACTTGGTACTGAGGTTTTTACTCTGTCCATGTCAACTGAAATACTTGTTGCCTCTGTTTGGTGCCTTTTAAACACAAGATGAAATTCTGTTGGCAGTATAATATTTTTTAAGCATTCAGTGTTAGTGATAATAAAATAAGTATCAATGTACATGAATAGATATGTGGCAGTTTGGTTATAAATGAATGATTTTCAAGATTGTTGAATTAATATTTACAACAGTTTCATTTTTAAGACCAGAATGTTTTAGGGATCTCTGTTTCTGAAAAATGTAGTTAGCTTTATGTCCAGAGGATGCTAAAATATCTTATTTTGGTTTGTGCTTTCATGCACTGTTATGTGCTCCTATGTTCCTGATATATAACTTACCTATGGAACAGGATGCCTTTGGAGATTGTAGAGTTGCCATCCCAGTAAGAAGAAAAATGCAAACATTTCTGTATACTATCTGTACTTAGATGGCAGGAAACAAACTCTTTTCATTCCTTCTAGACCAACTTTTCCAGGATTCCTAAGGAAAAAAAAGCTCAAAAAGCAAATTCATTTTTTGTGTGTTTTCCTCAAGAAAATAGAATGCTCTCACTTCCTCTGGCAGTGATGTCACACAAGATGTGCTACAGTTGTTGGCTCATGCAACTGCTGGAACAATAAAGAAGTTCAACCAAAATGGGTTGCTCTAGAAACTAAGAGCTGGTTTTACATGCAAATGTCCAGGTTACTACTACTTGTGGCTGGGGTGTGTTCGAGATTTGGCATTTGCTTTAGTCACTGAATCTAATTTCACTATTATTTCCCTCAACACCCAGCAAAGATCCACAACTTTGTTATTAGAAATCTTTGCATTCTGTACTGCATTTACTGAGAGGGATTAACTCTTTGTTTTTCAGAGCTTCCATATGGCTGGGAGAAAATTGATGATCCCATTTATGGCACTTATTATGTTGAGTAAGTTCCCAAGTTCAATATTAAGTTGCTATTAATATGTCATGACCTAATACTGGTATCCTCTGCAATGCTCAGCCTGGCAAGGAATGGGGACAATTACTTGGCATGTTAAACCTATGGGTATGGCAGGAATTCTCAGTCATCAAGGTAATTAATGTATATTCAAAGTATATTTGAATATATAGGTATATTCAAAGTATATTTGAATATATAGGTATATTCAAAGTGTCCCAAATCAGTGACTCAGGCATTCAGTCACTCTCTTTATCCAGGGTCTGGTTCCATGGTACCATTCTAGCTGACACTTGTACAAAGAACAATATCCATTAAAGAGATGTTGCATTTTCTATCTAAGCTTTGGATATTCAGCAAGGTATAAATCTTGTCAATCAATTAATAGAGCAAATCATAATAATTTCAGCTCAGTTAAAATCCATTTCTGGGTAATACTCACTTGCTGCAAATCAAGTGTTTATACTGGTTGTGCCAGAAGTCAAGGTTTTTATATGCTGTATATGAAATTTAATGGGCTTTTTTGAATTTAAAAGTGCAGCTGAAAACAATATAAATTCTATTTTCATAACACAATCCTTGCTTTCATTTTCTTCAGATTCTGTTTTAGTTATGAAACAAGAAAAAAGCTTCTTCCTCTGTGCAAAGGCCAACAAAATGCTTTTGTTTGAAGTAATGGTAGGACCTGGCCAGTTTGTACATAAAATAAGTAAATCTGAGAGATTATTTCCTCTGCTTTTTAACTTAACATAACGAATGAGACTTATGAAAAATGAATCAAGATTCAGATTGTGATACCTGTTTGGAAGGGGCCAGTTCTCACTTTGCTCTCTACAGTCAGTATGCAAGAGAGGAGACTGGAAGCCACTCCTGTCACTGTGCAGATAGCACTTGCAAGGTTGAGAAACAACTATCCATTAGTGCCTTTTATTAAACAAGAGAGATCTTCAGAGAATATTGTCCCTATTGTCCCTGACCTAAAATCTCCATTTCAAATCTTGACACTCAAGCAATATATTTATCTAGTTGCTTCATAGAAAATTGAAAATTTCCTTTGTGCATCACATTTTTCCCTTGGTCTCTTGAATCCATACCAACACACTGACTGCAGGATTGCCCTGGACAAGTATTGGAGATGCAGCTTTTCCTGACTTCAGGATATGCTGCTAGTATGCAAAGGTTCAGGTGTGCAGGGAGATCAAAAACTCATCTAATTGCTGCAAGTCTAGAAGATGTAAGATGCTCTTTTCCTACCTGCTGTCATAGCAGCAGCTTGTGAATGCCCATGCATGTTCCCCAGCCTTCTACAAAGCAAACAACAGAAAGTGGTGCTTGTTTCTTGCTTTGCTGATTCCTTCTGTCCCATTCTCCAGATGCCAGAGCACCTGCCCTCCCTCTTTGTCCCCAGCTTGCTTCCTGCCCTCAGGTGAGAGAGACAGCAACTCCATTTACTTTGCTGCTCAGCTCAAGTCACCTCAGTCAGTCCAGATTCAAGCAAAAGAATAAGATTTGAAGTGCCTAAGTAATACCATTAAATTACTCCCCCTTCTGATGCCTGAGTTCTTCTATGGTGTCCCCAGGTAGGCAGGGGCTGCAGTTCTCATAGAATTTTATACTTAACCCCTGCCAAAGATTTCTGCACGTGCAATTATGCAGCTTCTGGGTGTAAGTAAAGCTTCTGCCCCAGTGGTTTTCAGTGTATTTTGAGGTATAACAGGTGGCGTGCAATTTCTGTGCAGTAATCTCTTACTGAGACTCCCTTGGTTGTTGGTGCAGCCCGAGGCATTCTGGCACCAGCAAGGCTCACACTCCACTGCAGAGTCAGAAAAGGAACAAGTATTTATCTGTATTTCATGTCCAACCACAGATAAACAGATGCAAGGCACCAGGCCCAGATGTTATCGTGCAATTACATATTTTAAGGATGTTAGTGCCAAATTTATTAATACTAGCACAGATAAGATTTGTGGACAAAAACATCAAACCTACTGCAGTCTCTGAGGTTTTTAGAAGTGGAATGGATGCTCATGGAGTGGCATTAAAACTGCAGCCCTGCTAAATTCAAATGGAATTTTATAGTCAGTAAAAATGTAGCTGTAGTTTAATTTGCTGTCTGAGCTCAATAAGTTTGAAACAAAGATTGCTTTCCATTTTTCCTGCTACAATACATAACAGCCACAGTTTTTTTATTACCAATGCTCAACAGATGAGTTCATTTTTAACTAGATAAAATCAGATTACAATACACTTTCTTAATTTTGTCATAAAAGTAGGAAAATAATGAAAAGCAAGATTACAAAATTCCAGATATTTAGGTCCACTCCAAGTTTACATGCAGGCCTACAAAATCCTCATAGAAGCAGGGTTTGTACTCTGCTCACTGAGGAGCTTGTATCCCATGGGGAGTTTGTACAGTTCAGCAGTGAGGCAGACAGACTCCATTTCACCTTACAAGGAGCAGCCATGTTCAGCTCAAATATTCTGAGACCAGAGAAAAGCTAATAGAGAAAACAAGCCAAAACAAAGACATTTAAACCTCTTGCTAGTCGAGTTCCTAAAGACAAATCACAACCTCTTTGCAAATTCTGCTAAAAAAAAAAGTTTCCATTATCACTACATCTCTTAATCATGCATTAATGTAGGTGTGAGATAATATTATAATTTTCATTTGCTTTGTTATGTAGGTCCAGGCTTCATTTATAATGTGACATGTGACATAAATGAGGTGTTTGCTATATGTTTGTTAACTTTCATGCAGTCTGGTAACTGTTAATCTGTAAACTAAGAACTAACAGCACTGAGCTGTGCAGGACTATGGAGAGAATGTAGTCATTAGAGTGCTCTGTGTCTTTCCATTCTAATTGCCAAAAGATTTTTCCCTCTTTAAGGATGACTAACTACAACACAGAGCTCAGTTTTCAGACATGGCCTCTTTAATAGAACAGCTAAATTAGCTGTACAGGCATTTATCCTGGAAAAACATACCTCCTTGATTTACAACTTCTGACAATGCTCTGTTACTACTCTAATAGAAAAAGTTATCCCAGGTCATTTTGTCATTATACAGTGTTATCAACTGAAAAATGTGAATATAAAGATAAATAGGCTATACAAGATAGGCTATACAATGCATACAAGTTATAAATTAGAATATCCATTTTATAGGCATCCTGATCCTCAGAATTACTTTGTTGGGTAATAGGCAACAATTTCAAAAGCTATAGGCAAAAAC